GTTCATCTTTCTTCCTCTTGTTTCAGTCCAGATAACTACAACTACTTTATCACTAACGTCAGTTTAAACCTAAATCAACTCTACGTGTTTCTGGGTAGTACGCGATGTCATCGCTTAGTCGTAATAACTAGTAGTAATTAAAAAAATTATAATTCTAGTGTAAATGATGTTATCTTTACCCCTTGAAGTTAGCATTCTTATAGAAATCTGTTGTTCTTTTAAAAAGCTTAAATGAAACAGGAATTACCAGCCAATAATAGATTAACACTAGATGATTATAACATGTAGAATACCCAATGCTTTGTACACTATACAATCGACGGCTTTTAGGGATCCAATCCCTATATTATGAATGAAGTGAAGGAGTAAAAAAAATCAGTACATGTAGTATTAAATTATATTACACACATTCATATAATTCACTAACATTCAGTCAGGAGTAAAAACGTAATAAAACAAGTAATAAAAAATATTTTGTAAACGTAAAATGATGTAGGGATGACAGTGCCAAAAAGAATGCAAACAAGAATATAGGGATGATACAGCTATACCTAGATCATATCTACGTGATTTCAATATTAAAATTTAATGTTACACTGTAAAATGTACGTGTACAAACTGGTTACGAGGTCGGTCAATTCGACATGACCATGATATCATGATAAACAAACTGTATACCAACATTCAGGAATATATAACTTCCAACTGCAGTAATATTAAAGTCAAGAGCTGTTATATACTCTTCCCAAAAGTGATCACTTTGCGATTGTATCACACTACCTACAAAACGCCAAATAATATCAAAAGGTAGTTCTGATACATATATATGTATATTCAGAATCGTTTTTGTGTATCGTTTTACTCAATATTTTTAGCGAGAATTTTATTACTTTGAATAAATATGATTGTAGAACATTGTTTGTGTGTTTGATTTTTTTTCGAAAGAACACATTTCAGTGAAGTATTTTACCTCGGAGTGGCTTTCTTTAAAATCTATGTTAAATCATTAATTCCCAGTTTGTCCCTGAATAAGAACGGTCCATCTTTCGAAAGCGCTCGGTTTTTAGGTTTTTTTATCATTTTGTACGTGTTTTTCTGACATCATGAATGTTAAATCACTAGGTGGGGCCTCAACTATAAGGTGTCTAATGTCTTGAGGGGGTGGACTCAAGATAAAAAGGTTGGTAATTCAAACTCTAGCAAACGTAAGAAAACTGTATTGTAGTTCATTAGTTAAAGAATAATTATCTGGGGGTAACGAAGGCCTTGTAAATTCAATTAGAGTTAACAACCACTCTCTTAAAATTCTATCACCACGTTAACCCAAGCACGTGTTGTATCCTACGTTGCTTGTGTAATTTGAACTAAATCAGTTTCTTTCGTCAGTAAAGGTCGATACCACAGACCTCGTCAATTTCCTGTGCACGCGTGTATGCTAACAAGATGATAATGTTTGAATGTTGTAGTGAAAATTATGAAATTTTATGGTAGTATCAGCAAAATACTATCATCTCATTGTACGCGTCAGAAACGCATACAAAAAATAAAAAAGCTCTTAACAAAGAAATCTTGACGTGTTAAATGTTTCTTTAACAACAAGTACAAAAATAATTGGTCAGATTCAACGCTCTTATGTATCAAACAAAGACATAATGGTTAGATAAAGAAAGTTAATTTAAGTCATGTGTTATAAGAAAGCAAAGAAAAAGAGGAAAAACATTTGGAACATTGAACTGTAGTTAATTCAATGAACTTAAAGCCATTATTAAAGGTTACGCCTTGAGTACAGACAAAGTGGGTGGGATTACTGTAGCTTAGGTATTAGGAAATGATCAGTAATTAAGAATGCTTCAAGAATGTATAACTATAAGCCA